TATATATATATATGAGTTCTCAATACCTCAACTGAAATTTGAGGCTGAAAAATGAATTGTTAAAGTTAAAACAAGCAGAACAGGATAAATGTAAGCTAAAATTAGCAAAACTGTAGCTTACTGTTGAAAAACAATGGCTAAAATCTCAAGTTAGCAAGACAGTAGCTAAAACTGATAAGAAGTAAATGAGGACAAAATAGAACAAGTATGCTGAAATTGATTTCAGTGAACAATGTTTTTGTATGAATTTGGGAGATCTCAATGTATTTATACAGGGATTAAAAAAATAAAGTTAAATATTTAAAAATATATACATAAGTGAAAAACACTAAAAGTCAGTATTCCTGATAGAGCTGAACATTTTGATACACAATCATTAACAACAGCTCAAAAGCACAAAGTATGCAGAAGTAGTTTGATTGCAAAAAGAAACATACATAAGAAACTAAACGGGAAAAGAGATGCTGTGATCACTTTTTGGGTCTTGTGAAGCTCTTCAGCAACATTTTGAAGCTTTTTTTGGCTCTTGATTTGTAGCGTGTGCTTTCAGCCACTCCCGTAGAACAATTTAGCCTTTTTACGACTGAATCTGCCTACAGTCTGTTTGCTCTCAGATATGAGGTCTAAAACATGGTCACATCATGATGGTGTAATTCTGTCCAGCTGTGTTAGTGTGCAGTGTGCCATAGCAGACGTTTTGTGGACATTTGTCTGTTTTCTGTCACTGCTGCACTGATAAGAGGGAGGTTTAGACCTTGTTATTATGCTAGTGTGCACAAGCTGCTGCAGTGTGAGAAATTCCACTGTTGTGCAACGTGCCTCGACATGCTGTAAAGGTTGTAATGGCAAAACAAGCGGATTGCCCCAGCGTAAACTCCAATCAAAGCCACGCAACGAGAGAGTTGTTTGCTGAGCCATGCATCCATAATGGATGATGCTTATATATTTATCTAACATGGCTAACTTTTTAGAAAGCATTTAAGCCTCTTTTTGTTATTTTCTTGTTTACAAACCTCCTAAAAATATTCCAGGAGATGATTTCTTCACAGATTTATAGTGACTGGTGAGTGAAAGTGTCATTTTTACATCCCTGTGCCTAGGTTCAGACATCCAAACAACATGCGGGCCGGCGTTTGGAGGTTGCCAGCCAAAGTGGCGTCTGCTCCATGCAGATTTTATCAGCTCTCATTAAAAATGAGCTCAAGGCGTCAGTTTTCTAAACCAATGTCTGGATGAGCTTTGTCATGTTTCCAGCCAGTTTGTAAGAGAGCCATGGACCAGGACCTCCGACAGTGAGGAAAATAAGTATTTGAACACCCTGCGACTTTGCAAGTTCCCCAACTTAGAAATCATGGAGGGGTCTGAAATTTTCATCTTAGGTGCATGTGCACTGTGAGAGACATAATCTAAAAAAAAATAAAAAATCCAGAAATCACAATGTATGATTTTTTAAATAATTTATTTGTGTGTTACTTCTGCAAATAAGTATTTGCACACCTGCCAATCAGCAACAATTCTGGTCCTCAAAGACCTGTTAGTCCGCCTCTAAAAAGTCCACCTCCACTCCACTTATCATTCTAAATTAGAAGCACCTGTTTGAGGTCAGTAGCTGCATAAAGACACCGGTCCATCCCACACAATCAGTAAGACTCCAACTACTAACATGGCTAAGACCAAAGAGCTGTCCAAAGACACCAGATACAAAATCCACAAGGCTGGAAAGGGCTACAGGGCAATTGCCAAGCAGCTTGGTGAAAAAAGATCAACTGTTGGAGCAATTATTAGAAAATGGAAGAAGCTAAACATGACTGTCACTCTCCCTCGGACTGGGGCTCCATGCAAGATCTCACCTCGTGGCGTATCAGTGATCCTAAGAAAGGTGAGGAATCAGCCCAGAACTACACGGGAGGAGCTGGTCAATGTCCTGAAGAGAGCTGGCACCACTGTTTCCAAGGTTACTGCGGGTAATACACTAAGACATCATAGTTGAAAGTCATGCATGGCACGGAAGGTTCCCCTGCTTAAATCAGCACAGGTCCAGGCCCGTCTTAAGTTTGCCCATGACCATTTGGATGATCCAGAGGAGTCATGGGA